TTGTAGTGGAATCTCACCGAGGCATAGTCCCGATCCTGAAATCTGCTCCAAAGTAATTTTAGGTATCGTACCCCATGCACATTGGGAGACATTATGGGAAACGTTGTAGGAACCCATAGTAGCAATCCCCTCTAAATAGGGAGGGGTAACAGTATAGCAGAGACAATAAGATCTGGCCAATTCAGGGCTAGTTACATTTAAGAGGCTATAAGTTTGATTTATGATTTTAACAAATTCCTGTGACCGCCTGTAATAGCGGATCTGAGACAAAGGCTTAGGAGGCCTTTTGGTAAATCCTGTAGGTAGAGTTGGGCCAGGAGGAGGAGAGGGAGGGGCTCCCTTGGGCGTATCCATGGTAACTCTTGGGACTAGCACTGGGTTGGGCCCTACTGCCGTGACGAAAGGCACCTGGCGTCTAGTGATTGTAAACAAAATTGCAGACCCATAGTTATGCAATCGCAGGCCCCAGGTGTTAACCCCTTCCCATCCGGAGAACTTTTTTCCTTTTTCTGTGAATCTGATAAGCAAAGGGTTGCAGGCTTGTGGTTCGAGCCCCCAAGTTGGCTTACAAGGGGGGCCTGTCACATCTCGTTTGAGGGTGATGTAGTCCCCACGGGCATTACTTAACCAGTATGTCTGACCCGTGGTCTCACAGCCCCATCGTGGGCAGTAGTACTGGTCTGGTCTCCCACAACTGGGCTTATACTGTGGCCCTGGGCAAACATAGAATTGTTTTTGTCTAAGGTAGCGAACTCCCGACTCAAACTTGCAATTGTATCCGTAGGAGGAGTCTTCCACATCTCGGGTAATCGCTACCCATTCCCGGTCCCAGGCCCCGTCTTACCAAAGTACAGAGGTCCATATCTAAAGGTGGCCACCAGGTATTGGGGAGATACACGGCCGACCACGTTAACACTGGGGACCCAGTTTCCAAGTTAGTGACAACCCAAGTAACTTGCACTGGTATGTGCGGGTTGGTCCCATCTGCAAAATGTCCACAGTTAGTTGCTAAATAATATATTACCAGCAGCATCCTCACCCATCCAGTCTGCGTGGAGAGCTTCATAAGGGAGTCTCAGTGGCGGCAGGGATGCTTGGCAAGTCCTGAGACAGC